TTGGTCTCTTCTCTTTTCTCTTCTGTATAAAAGATTATGTTCTGTATTGTATACGATACATTTTGGAGTATGATACAATGTAATTAATATCTTCTACATTGAAGAATAGCGATAGTGCTATTCCTCCAATCTGTCTTTGTGATCACAAATAATAAAATAAAGAAGAAATATGCTGCAGCTGAAAATGAAATAACATTCATTTCCATTTCTATATTCCGTTACATGCATGATTTGTAAAGCAGCTAAGAAAACTATTTATAGTAGTTCAATGTACGAAAGTTCACCGAGATAAAATTTATCTTCATAAAACCATATTTTTATGCATGAGGCTACTTAGTGGCTTTTAAACAACATAATAAGTAGCGTTACCATATTCTCTGAACATAACCAAATGAAGTTACGGCTAATGCAGTATATTCACCTTAGACTAAGCACTCAGTATACTAGGTCGTAAAACGAGTAAAAGAGAGACTAGCGAATAGCCAGCTGTATCTTTTGTCAAATGTCAATAACCAAGGAGCCATATTTTTACTCAACATTTATCTCACTAGGATATCAAGAGAATCAGCTAGAATGATGAAACTTTCTATTTAATCTCACACCAACTAACTCGAATACATAATGCAAAAAAACGGGGGAATTACAATTATTCGGAAGTGATATAGAAAATTCCGAGAACTTATTGACTACCCTATGTAAAAGATATTTAGTTTTGATTATTTATGAGTTTGATAAACTCTCATTAAAAATACTTTCTGACATGACTATAGAATTACTCGCAATAATTACTTTTTTGCTTTTAATCTCATGAATATTATAATTGGAAAATGTGAACACGCCTAAATAATTTTCGTCTGTCCGCTAGTGAAACTCCACATTTTTACAAACTATGTAGTTTTTAATGTATAAATCAGTGAATGAACCGAAAAACTCAAGCGTACTGAGTGGAGGAGAACTACTTAACAGTTTCAAATCGCCGCTCTACACTATTTTAAATATATGTTCAAGGTCTACACGCAAATCTAGGTACAGAATAATAAAATACGTATATAATATTTCAACCTTATAATTCCCAAAAGAAATTTGATATTGAAGTCTTTTGTGCGATAATCTGGTTGACAAGCACTGAAAAAGGAAGAGAAAAGGAGAAAAAGAAATCTTTCATATAAACTTTCACATACTTCAAAGTTGTGTCGTATGACATTCTTTAACCCTTTCGAGACGATGGGACCCACCCGTGGGTCTCGCTATATTTCATAAAAAAAGAAAGAAACGAATACATAGTTAAGTATTTTGAAAAAACTAAATATTTGTCTGTTTCTCAAGTAGAAGAAAATGCTCAAGTCAAATTCGAAAAAAAGTCAATAAGTAAAAGATTTTTTGTTGTTTTCTTTTTGTGATTTATTGACTAGTTTCTGTCAAGTTATTACTTGACGTCATCAGAATCTAGAAGAGAAAGAAGAGGTTTTTAAAAACTGACTAAAAATCAACTTTTTAAAAGAAAAGACACTGGGTTACACCAGATGGCTAGAAGAGTCTCTCTGGTGTTGTTCGATGGTCAAATGGGCTTGTTGAAGATTGAACAAAACAGGAAGAGAATGACTGAAGAGCCTCATGTGCCGATTAAGACTCCTCATCGGAGAGATTGAGGGTGACCAATTGTGATGTTGCTTGGCCACCTATGCTATTACCACCCATATTGCTGTTGTATATGATGATGGTTGGTGGTGGTGATCAGAGGTAGGACGCAAGTACATGTACTTGTACTTTTTGTACTTTTCAAGTACAACGTAGAAATACTTGTACTTAGCTCAGAGTACTTGTACTTCTAGTAGAGTACTTTATACTATAAAGTCCTAGGGGTGGACCATTTCCGTTAATTTGAAATTAACATCAACGGTTGATGTTAACGTTAATATTAACAATTAACGCGTTACACTTAACCGTTAATTTCCACTTAATTAAGTGATTAACGTATAAGAAACATCTTCTATTACTTCAGACGCAATTGTATATCCATTCTGACTCCGCATCTATAGATTCATGAACGAAAACTCAAAGGTCCATGGGTAATATCGCACAACCGGAGTAAAAACACTGCCTCCTTGAAAGGAAATAAACAGCCAATGCAGATCTCTGAAGGTCAAAGAAACGTCCTTTTATAAGGCGTCCCTAGTCGNAAAAATATAGCCCATGAAATTCTCTACAAAACTGTATGTATAGATCTGTTGAGTGATTAGTTGCAGAACTATATCTGGTCAACATTTCAATGCTGCAAAATAGTGCATTTTTGTAGGCGTCCGTTTTTATATTACCGATTTTGTGATGTTCTTACGTCGTTATATAGACAAACTAAATATGCCGTATTGTAGCCCATGAAAAGCCCTCTCCATTCCACAAGGGCATTTTCAGACAAACTCCCTGTTTACTCGAACAAAATCTCTTTCTGTTTCCTCTCTGTTCATGCTCCGAGAGCTCTCTATTAAGTTCCGTCGTCTTTTTATCTTTTTCCATAAATGGAAAAGTATTACATATTTTAATTTACTAATAAGTTGAAGGATAACGTTTTCACTACCAGCTCACTACGAGCAGAATCATGTTAGGTGTGCTTTTGAAATGCTATAGGTGCATAACGAGAACGACCGATGATTCCAACGCGTTGTTGTAGAAGATTTACCAATAGAATTTTGCTGTCGCATCAGAATATTTTTCTTTAGTTTCTGTGAGGAAGATTACACTCAAAAACATAGGAAAATTGCCTTGGAACTGAATTTTAAATTTGTTTTTGAAGAAGAAATAAAAGAATTAATTTTTGAAACAAACGCCTACAAAAATGCACTATTTTGCAGCATTGAAATGTTGACCAGATATAGTTCTGCAACTAATCACTAAACAGATCTATACATACAGTTTTGTAGAGAATTTCATGGGCTATATTTTTAAAAAAAAGTTCAACTATATACGTCATAATTTGAGCGAGATATTGAAAAAATACGTAGAGGCTCATTTAACCTGGGACACCCGTTAAGTAAGTGTTGGATCATCTAATAATAATTGATGGACATCAGTTTGTATAAACATGATCTGAGCTCCTAACGATGAATTCTTCAAATGTTTCTGAGCCTCACCAAGAGTATATGGAGAACCTGTAGCACTGTAAAAACAATCGAATTTACGAGTGAAAATAGATACCATATGAAAGATCTGCTGAATCAATTGCTGTGATATGTCCTGATGAACCTACTATGGATGCCAATACTAGGTATGCACCAAATCCAACTCCAATTAAATTCAAATCCAATTCTAGAGTTGGATTTGGGTTTGGATTTGATAAGATTTGACTGAAATCGCTCGCAACATTTATTAGATTTGAATTCAAGCTTCCTTGAATTTAAGGACGGGGGCGTATAAGACCGTAAATCGGCCCATTTACAAATCAACTTGGTAAATACCAAAAACGATGCAGAGTGAAACGAAGAATCTTTCTACACCAAATTCCAGTCAATCGGGAACCATATGAAAGGTTTCCGATGGCCAATACTACCCGGTATTTTCACTCATTTTTTACCCTATTATGCTAGTGTTTTTTCAGAGATATCGTAACACAAATTCTTTCCTATCATCTACCCAATAGTTTCATTAGAAAGAGCAGAAAATTCTGCACAAAATCCTATATGAACAGTCGCCAAAAAGTATATATAGGGCGAAGTTATGATGACCGAATAGTGTCTATGTGACTATTACGAGGTATATCATAGGGATTTCTCTTTTAACGGTACACAAAAACACTTGATCATAGGGTTTCCTATATACAGATCGATAGGATTTTTCACGCACTACAAAATGGTGTGGTGTATATGCTTAAAAAAGTCCGGCCAAATTGCTGAAAGTCGTTAATTATAAGTAGAAATGTAGAAAGATATAGACGATGTATATAAGTTATTCATTCGAGAAATAGGAAGAGCAAGATCAGTACGACGAAGTATGGACGGCAAATAGAGAAAATTAATCATCGTCGGATTCAGGCTCTTATGAGTCATCGTCATCATCGCTGTTGCTTGCATTGTCTGAATATTGTATACAGTCTTCAAGATTAAGTAACAGATTATTTGCTGAGAGTTGATGATCAAAAGAATCAGTTTCACCACGACAGACACCTAAATGCCAAATCCAAGCTGTTATATGAGCGCAGGAACCAATAATACGAGCTCCGGCGGCACAGGTGCAGAATCATCCTTTAATCGGTTCATCATAGTCATCTTCGTCGAATTGTACCGTGGCAATGTATGTTGTATTGCTTGAATGTCGCGAGGCAAAACGAACACGAACTAGATCCACGTGCTTCGTAGAAAGCTCAACAACAAATTCGTAGTTTTCGTTGTCCAAAATGGAAGGTTTGAGATGTGCCTCAATATAACTTTTAGCTTGTTTTATTTGGTAGGTACCTATATTGAAGGATATTAGCAATTTAAAGAGAAAACAAACAGATAGCTACCAAAACAAATATTTTGTACATCTTCTTCAGTCAGGATTGGAAAATTGACCACTTGAGCATCATAACTTTTCCATTGCGGCCTATTCTTAGTTTGATTAATTTCCTGAAGACACTGTTCTAGCTGATTCTCTTTATCGCGAAGTTCCAGCATCTTTGTTGCCCACTGCTTTTGATTGTCTGACTCGATGTTGCTGGTCTTTGTATATGCGTTAATGAGCGCGCATATCATGTTTACATAACCACCGGCAAAAGGAGTGCTTCAATTTTGTATAGTTTGAGCAAAATATCGCCATTGTTTGATTTTTCCATTAACTAGTTTTGAGAAAACTCGTAGTCTTTACGTTCCATGAAAATGGTTGATTAAACATACCACTTTCGATAATCCATCTCACTTTAGCAACACATCGAGAATGATTGGCTTCTGCAGAGGATAGTTGTTTTTTTCCTTTGAGAAAATCAGGCATTTGGACGTTAAAGCCAAATCTATATATTGTCTTGACGGGATCTCTAAAGCCACGATCAACTGCTATAACGTCATCCTTGTTAAGCCAATTTAACACATCTTCCTCGTTGTGGATAAAAATATTTTTGGCAACGGACGCATCGTTATTTCGACCATCTGCAAGGTATGGACCTTGTACACTAAGAATGTATCCATCCTAAATAATATGTGTTTCATTTCTTAAGCGCAGTTCATCATTTCTTTTCAAACACAATTGAATTCAAACTGTAATGACGACACACTTACTGTTGCAGTTGTGATCATAGGTTTGATCAAGTTCCTGTGTTTATGCATACTGAATGATCGACGTTGAAATTGATTGCTGCTCGACTTTTGTATGAACAAATAAGCTCCATCCATTACTAGAATCACTTGATCATCTCTATCAGCCATCAGTTGTGAAGCAATTAAGGTTTGATGACAGTTAAGAACAGTTCTTCTATCGATGTGTTGGAAACCAAGATGTTTAGGAACAAAGTTCTTGAGTAGTCCTTCGGCTATTGCATGAACAATTCGAGAAACTACACGCTTGTTTTTCATGTGAAATAGAAAAGATAGTACTCTGTTACTAACGCCTAAACGCATTTTAACCAGAAAGAGCGCCAAACCTACACGAATTGATCGAACATAAGAGTTGCGCATTGATGTTAGAGTACTGAGCAGATTATCAAATTGATCTAAGTAGCAAACTAAGCCCATATATAACTCGAACCAATTATACCTTTCTCTAAACCCGTTAAATTGTAATATGCATCATCATTTAAAGACGTTGGGTCATCGAAATCAAATGTTTTCGTGTCTTGAACCATCGTGCAGCATTCTGTTATTAATTCCATAACACCTTTGGCATCAAATACTACTGGTTCAGTCTTTGTGGGTACAATTTGATGTAAAGCTTCGAAGGTTAAATGCTTTCCATACAGATGATCACGACAAAAACGACTTCCGGCAGGTATAACAATACCACGCTTGATAAAAGCTGATTTTTGTTGTTCTGTAGATAATACTTTAGATGAACTTCCATCTGTTTTTTGGCAAACAAAGCAAGTTCTTAACAAAACATAATGTCTATCAATCAAAAGACATTTTATATAAATAGTTTTAGCTTACCTATGTGATGCTGATGTCCGTTTGATTGGAATTTCTACAGTTTGTTCTATTGCATCAGTTTGACTACCACATTCAGCGATTTCTTCATCCTAAGGAAATGCAATCAGAANCAAAACTAGTTTTGAAGTTTTGGTATTGAAGTCTTGTTTTTGATGTGGTTTTGATTTCAATATTTCGGTTTTGATTGGATTTTGGTTTTGATCGTTTAGTTTCGGTTTTGGGTTTGGGTTTGAAAGTTTTGAAAGTTATGGTTTTAGTTTTGGTTTTGTTTGTTGAAAACAGTCTTATTCGATCTATCTTGAAAAACGAGCAAAAATATTGAAATCACATCAAGACCAAAATCATATCAAAACCAAAACTGCCAAAACCTATACTGCCAAAACCAAATCCTCAAACCCCAAGAGGTTTGGTATTGGCGCGTGTCTAAGTGCAGAACCATCCTTTAATTGGTTCATCATAGTCATCTTCGTCGAATTGTACCGTGGCAATGTAGGTTTCATCGCTTGGATGTCACAAAGCAAAACGAACACGAACAAGATCCATGTGCTTCGTAGAAAGCTCAACAAGAAATTCTTACTTTTCATTGTCCAAAACGGAAGGTTTGAGATGTTCCTCAATATAACTTTTTGCTTGTTTGATTTGGTAGGTACCTATGTTGAAAGATACTAGCAATTTAAAGAGAAAACAAACAGATAGCTACCAAAACAAATATTTGGTACATCTTATTCAGTCAGGATTGAGAAATTGACCATTTGAGCATCATATTTTTTCCATTGTGACCTATTCTTAGTTTGATGAATTTCCTGAAGACGCTGTTCTAGTTGATTCACTTTATCATGAAGTTACATCATCTTTGTTGCCCACCGCTTTTGATTGTCCGACTCGATGTTGCTGGTCTTTGTATATGCGTTAATGAGCGCGCATATAATGTTTAAATAACCACCGACAAAAGGAATGCTTGAATTTTGTATAGTTTGAGCAAAATATTGTCATTGTTTGATTTTTCCATTAACTAGTTTTGAGAAAACTCGTAGTCTTTATATTTCATGGAAATTGTTTAATAAACATACCATTTTCGATAATCCATCTCACTTTAGCAACACATCGAGAATGATTGGTTTCTGCAGTGGATAGTTGTTTTGTTTCCTTTGAGAAAATCAGGCATTTGGACATTAGAGCCAAATCCATATATGGTCTTGACGACATCTCTAAAACCACGATCAACTACTATAACATCATCCTTGTTCAACCAATTTAACACATCCTTCTCGTTGTGGATAAAAATATTTTTGGGAATGGACGCATCGTTATTTCAACCATCTGCAAGGTATGGATCTTGTACACTAAGAATGTATCCATCCTAAATAATGTGTTTCATTTCTTAAGCACATTTCATCATTTGTTTTGAAACACAATTGAATTCAAACCGTAATGACGACACGCTTACTGTTGCAGTTGTGATCATAGATTTGATCAAGTTCCTGTGCTTATGCATACTGAATGATTGACATTGAAACTGATTGCTGCTCGACTTTTGTATGAACAAATAAGTTCCATCCGTTACTAGGATCACTTGATCATCTCTATCAGCCATCAGCTGTGAAGCGATTAAGGTTTGATGGCCGTCAAGAACAGTTCTTCTGTCGATGTGTTGAAAACCAAGATGTTTAGGAACAAAGTTCTTGAGTAGTCCTTCGGCTATTGCATGAACAACTCGAGAAACTACGCGTTTGTTCTTCATGTGAAATAGAGAAGATAGTACTCTGTTATTCACACCCTAAACTAATTTTAACCAGAAAGAGCGCCAGGCCTACACGAATTGATCGAACATAAGAATTACGCATTGATGTTAGAGTACTGAGCAGATTATTAAATTGATCTAAGTAGAAGACTAAGCCGACATATAACTCAAACCAATTACACCTTTCTCTGAATCCGTTAAATTGTAATGTTCAATCATCGAGAACAATCGATCTTTCCAATCGTCCACAGTGTTAA